TGTTTCTATTTTTCGGTTCCAGAAAATATATGATATGATCGATTATTTATGAAATTTGGTTTAATTTTTGTTTTTTTTTTTCAGTTTGATACGGTTCGATTCACCTGGAAAATATATAACATATACATTATCTTATATAAAAATTCATTTAGAAGAATTTGTTTTATTTCAAAAATAAACCCGCGCTTTTTAAGCGCGGGTCAAAATCTAGTTAGTTTTTAAAATCATCGTTACAACTTACCACGAAACATTGAACATACAAGGGATATGTAACTGCGGCTAAGAATTCATACACTGAATGAATATCTAACACATTAAATAATGATTGCAGCAAGGTAACGTTTAGTCCAGATGCTGAATTGCTGTTGTCTAATAATTATTCATCTTTTTTCTCTATTGATAGGATATGTACACAGTACATTACGTAATGAATACGTTCTGAGAATCTAGACAATCATCCTTCCGTGTGGATCGTAATTATACCCTCTATGTATTTGTGAGCACATCCTTTCACAGTAAATTCATTCAAACTATAAAGACATTCTTAGTTGGATATATATTTTTTAGTTTCCATTCTTCTTGCTCTTGTGACCTTTGAGAAAATCAAACAAAACTTGGCTGTTGCATCTAGGACATCTAGGGTTACTACTCTCCAAAGACATGAAGATGTACATGATGCAATTAGGGCAACCAACGACCACCATTGATTTAGCATCTCCTCCTTCAACTTCAGCTTCCTCCGAACACAATGATGAAGATGGGTACTCAGTTGGCAAAGATGAATCCAGTATATTTAGTTTCAGATCAAGTTCAAGAGTACTCGCAGCTTCTTGCTGATTCATGTTTCTTGCCTTCCAAGAAGAGTACGTTTGTTGATAAAAATTTTCTATAGGGATCTGAATAAAGATGCGTTAGAAAATCTATGATGAAGAGTGATGGTTTTTAGAATATATTTATCATGAGAAAACATAAACAGTAGAATTGGCTAATCGAATTACTTACATATCTACAGAGTGAAGATGACGATAACTAATGATAACTAATATTTCAACAGATTATCTTGGATCTTGGTTAAAAGTTAGCTTACCTGGGTGAAGACTTGTTTTGTTCTTGTTCTTGAGAGTTAAAAGAAAGTTTGACATCTTCATGTTATGGCTGCTGTTATATAGACACAAAAGATGAGAGCGGGTGTTAATGATTGTGTATTAATTAATTAATAGTATTAGTTCTATCTAACTTTCAAAATAAAACTCCTATAAAAGTAGTAATAGAAATGAGATGTTTGAACAACAATGTGATGTGAGGATAAATATGCAAAATACTGAGTATGTATGTGGTTTTGGCTAAAATTGCATTTATTACCAAAACTATTGGGATATATAGAAACCAGATACTTTATCCTTTTTCACATTTTGATCATGAAAATTCAAAATCAAATTGAGAGACAGAGAGATAGAGACCATTTAATTTAGAACTTGTAAGGCAATAATGTGTTGAAAAAAAGTCACTGTAAAGATGATGACATTTTAAGATATTATGGCACGAGAATTGAAGAGGAACATTGTTTTGATGACTAGTATTGGCAATAATATTCTAAATGCTTTCTTATTGAAAGTTGAAAATTGATTAATACTAGATGCATAGTCTCCGCGCAAGTGTGAGGGTTGGACACGATGTTGATATTTTGTGTAGTTTTGTGTATGAGACTTTGCTGTTTTTTTTAACATTTGTTTATCTGACTTATCTATAATGGTGATGAATGAAACATTAGAAGTCACACAACTTGATTAGTCTGATAAAAGAATAAACATCGTATTCATATGGGTTGATATTTTCATATTTTATTTTCGTAGTGATTTTATCGAGCATTCCCTTTATTAGTGATTTTATCGAACATTATTGTTATTAGTGTTTTCATGTAAAAAAAAATAATTTAATGGAGACAAGACAAAAAAGGACATGTGTTTATTAGTGTAATTTTCTTTTTGAAATTATGTTGTATATATATATATTTTTAATTGTGATATATATGAGATTTATGACCGATCTGAATGGTTCGGGGTAAATATTTATTATTGAAAAAATATGTTTTTATTTTATTTGATGATTATAACTGAATTAAAATGATATTGGAGGTTAGAACATAATAACCTTTCTTATAAAAGTATCTAAGATGGTCTCATAAAGTTTCAAATCTTTAAGCCATTTTGTATCCCAACAACCACCATAAAAAATCATTATGAATCTCCCTAAGCTTTTGGTATCCCGAAAAGCTCAATTTAAAAAAAAAATTACATACAAGCACTGCGTTTGGAATCCGCGCACTCGCGGTACCAACTTCTCGTCACCAATTTACACCACTGGGTCATATCATTACTCATTGATAATATTCAATCTTACAAAATGTTATACGTTTTTGTTTTTTCTAATAACACGCACGGAGCTCGCAAACTTGCTAACGTTGATACGTTAAGAAGCTTCAAAATGTACTATTATTATATAGATTGCTGAATATGAAATTGAACCGTTAGCCGCACGGCCAACAATGATGTAAATACTGACCAAAAAGATGACCACATGAATGGCTTTTGACTGTTAATAACTTAATATTGTTGACTTTGTAAACGGAATAAAAATGTAAGAATATTAAATATTAACGAGTGAAGAATATTTTTAATATTGACTCAGAAGAAAATATGGAGTATGATTGGCGAGATTCATGAAACCGAAAAACAAAGAAGTTTGCAAAGAGCATGGAAGATTCATATGACATAAGATGAGATTGTCTTTGTCATCTTAGACTTTGTTACCTTGATTCAAGTAAAACCAAACAACAAACCAAAGTTTGACTATGCGAACAGATACACATATATGTTAAGCTAAACAGTATCATCAATTCATAACTAATGATACTATTTAGAATTATGATAGTCCTTTGGTTATGGCTTGATACAATTATTTAGCTAACATATATGGCTTGAATATATAAAAGATAACCTAATTCTCAAATTTCATTACAGTTTGAATATCTCAACCTTCATCATAAATAAAGGAATCCTTCTAATCAAATTCATCAGCAAGATTTTAACAAACAACAGAAATAAAATACAACAGTTTGGAGATTAACGAGGAATTTTTCAGTATTTTTTCCATACAGCTTTAACGTGTACCATTCATGTTATTTATTAGAGTTGTTGTAAAGGATGGATGAAGACTAGTCTTCCACAATGTGTTTCCTCTCTAGCTCAATGAACTGTTTGCTGAGACGGGAGGTTTCAGTGGCGTTTCTTGTCTCGTTCTCTTGTCCTTTGCAACGCATTAACTGCATTTGAAGAGTTCGTACCAGCTCATTTAGCCTCTGGATGTGTCTCTCTTGCGACAAGATGATCTGTAAGAATCAACCAGATAACAAGATGAAGGCATAAAATACGACAACATGCCTTTATAATTAAGGTACAAGGGTATCTTGAAACACTAGGTTGTTTCATACATCCAAATGGAACTTCAAGGTTGCAAGACAAAGATGTTTTTATACTACTTTACTCCACACTAACCTTAACTACTTGATGCTAGTCTGAAAAAAAAAACTCAATAAAGGGCTCAAACCAATAGTTCTATGAAAAGCTGAGAATTCTAATCAGTCACTGAGGTATTCCACATACATTGTAAAAAAGGAAACATTTCGAAATGAATTGGAACCCATGAAAAGATCAGATTGTGCTCAGCCCATGTCTATGCCAAGATTATGAAGAGAAACAAATTCCAGAAACTGATTGATCCAAAATGATCAAATAAAATCCCAATAGGGGGATCAAACCAACTGAGAATTTCCACAAAGATTCTAAAAAAGGAAAGATTTCGAAATGAAATGGAAACCCCTGAAAAGATCAGACTGTGCTCAGTCCATGTCTATGCCAAGATAAAGACAGAAAGAAGAGAAACAAAGTACAGAAACTGATTGATCCAAAATGTTCAGTAAAGACAAATATATGGTGAATGAATCTCTAGCACTATAACCTTATAACGTGTCGGACTCTCTATGCAATTTGTGCATATCTCTCCTAATATACACTAGTCCATAAATCACAATCACAAAACCAATTCAGGTCTTTCACATACCATAGACCACACAATGTGTTCCCATGAAAAAAAAAGCGAGTTAGAATCAAACAGTCATACCTTCTCTTTGACAGCTTCTTCCCTCTTTGCAATCTGCTGATGTTTCTGAGACAAGCTAGGAGCAGCATCAAGCTCAAGAAGCGGTTGCCTCCATTCAAACTGAGAAGTGACTATAAGTATAACCAGAAGGAACACAAGCATGATCGGCCTCGACATATTTCTTTCTCTTTATTACCTCCTACAAAACCTGTTCCAAAATAATAAAGAATCAGTTTTCCCACATCCTAAAACACATTACACACCAAACATCCAAGAACCACACACGTCTCTAATCCAATCGTGAAAATTGAGGATTGAGATTGAAAGGTCAAAACTTTAATACGTAATAAGACTTTAATTCACCTACCCACTTTCTAAATTTCCTAAAGAAACCCAAAACTATAACGATTACGATGTCTGAGAACTTACAGATCAGGATTGAAGAGTGAAATCAAACTTCATTTTCGCGCATCCTTTTGTCTCTTCCCTAGGGTTTGTGGAGGAGCGAAAGACGGAAGAAATTGATGTAGATCTTTCGGTGGAATCGTTTGAAAGCTACTAGATTTCTTCTCGAGAATGGGTTCGCGATAGAGAAAGAGATGTAAAAAGGGGAGAGGAGGTTTAACGGATAATCCTTAAGTGCAACCGTCGTTAAGAGACGGTGAAGAGAGGAGATGAAGAAAGAGTACGGACATTAAAGAGTATATTACCAAATTACCCCCATCTCTTATCCATTTGTTTCATTAAATCCACACATAGGCAAAAGGTTTCTATCTAGAACCGGAAAATAGAATCAAACCAAAGGTTTTTAGAGTCGAACCAAACCGAAAGAATCAAAACAAAAAAACCAAAATTCACAGATATTTTAATGGTTATAAAAATATATGAGATTATTGTAATTATTCATTATTTCAATCTCAAATTTTTAAAATTATCCGATATTTATGTGAATAAGCTGAATTATCTGATATTTCCATTTGAATTATCTAAAAATATATAAAAAGTTTTAGTTGGACCAAAGCTAAATAAAATCCGAAGATTTTCTAAATAAAAAAGTTAAACCGATTCTAGTAACTTTACTAATCTGAAACCAAAATTTTATAACAATTTATGTCTCTATATCACAAAATAAAAAAAACTGCACCCAAATTTATCAAAGCCATAGCATCGGTTTGGTTTTGATTTCGAGATTCTACCGATTGTGGGATTTTGATTTATCGGTTTGCTTGCAGTTCAATAAACCGGAACCAAAAATGGGCAGAATACTCAAATTGAAACAGTGAACACAAACAAACATATCAACCTATACACAATCACAAACATCGAGAGGAAGCAATGCCCACAAAGAACAAGACAGGACATCGATTCCAACTACTACTTGCACAGCCTTAATCTAGATAAAACAACATTGCAATGAGAGCCACTAGACATATAATAACATCCCATCTTCCCTTGTTCACCGTTTTGGTAGAGTATAGTCCCACGAAGCAGTTCGAGAGGCCACTGTTCTCTTTTCCTTTCTTCTCCTCTAAGAGTGAAGCCATCTGTTTGTCTATCATGTTCGGTAAAGGAAGTACCCTTATCGCCGATGATGCTGATTCAAGTGTTGGCACTTCGTTTGCTGTGTTCCCAGCTGTCATCATCATTTCATCAAGATTGATGATCTCGTCGCTTAGTATATCCGCAAAGAAATCCTCATCAGTATGCACCTAAGCACACACACACAAACACAAAAATTTCATCAACAGAGAATACGAAACCAGCATTCAAATGTTAATAAGACAATATGCACTTTCTATACATTCCCTATGTGGCATGTCAGTATTTATATATCTAACGCCAGCTAATGGGATTATGTAGAGATTTAATTGAGTCATATGTCTTAATAGTTAAAAGTGTATAATATAAGCTTACACATGGTTTTTTTCAGGCTAGAGGTCGAGATTTTTTTGGTGATGGGTGTTAGGCACTGGTTTTTGTTTTAGGCTGTTGTTCATGCAGCTCAGTGTTTTCTTTTTGTAGAGGTGATGCGGTCTTTTGTAATAAGGTACGTTCATGAATAAAATAGAAATTTAGAGTTAAAAAAAAAAAGTTACACATCGGAAGTTTCAATGGGACATGACTAACATATTTATGACTAACATACTTATCGATAAATTGGTTTTGAATTGGAAGTCCAAGAAATCGGTATATATCCATATTCATCAAAATGTGGAACAAAGGGGACAAACCTGTAAATTTTCTACTGTTTCTGCCATCTCAGAGAGAAGGTTCTCCCCTGAGTCACCCGCAAGGTAAAAATCAATCATGCTGTCCCAATCACACGGGCTCCCTGAATTAGCCACACCATTTTGCATGATCACGTGCTTCTCGGCTGCTAAATTCGGCTCTGGTGTCTTCTGCCTTGTACAAGTATGAGATTCTATGTTCCTCCTGAGCCGGCAAACAACCAAAGCATCATCCTAAAATACACACAAGATACAAAGTATCAAAGTATGTAATGGTAAACAGTTTTTTTTTTAAAGTCTAAGAACAGTTTACCAGTGATAGTACTCCTTTCATGGAGTACTCGTGCATAAGCCACTCTGTTCTTTCGCCTTTTGGTGCACGACCAATATGGAAGACAAGCGTCCTCTTTGTTCCCACCACTTGAGAAGAAGACTTAACATCACGCTCTTTCCCAGTGGCTTTCCAGTATCCTTTCTTGGTTGTTCTCCTGTTTTGTGAGCCATGTGGATACTTCTTGCCACGGGCACAGAAGAAGAACCATTCGCTATCAGATTTAACTATTGACTTATCTGTATAGAAAAAATAAATAGTAAACGTTAACTATCTTACAAACACTCCACTAGACACATGTTGCTGTCGACCAAAGGACAAAATGTATTGAAACAACAATAATAGAAAAAAAAAGAACACCCAAAATAGTAAGTAAGTTATGAATATCTCTGATAACGAGATCTGAGTCCACCCAAAAATAGTAAGTTCTAAGCTCTGACTGTAATCAGACGAAACATCAAAGAGCAGAAACAAAAGACAAACCGGGCAAATCCCAAGGCTCGAAGTTGTAGATATCGGTTTCCGGTATAACCTCAACAGACCGCTCTAAACCGTCCATCTTCCGCTTTAGGTAATAAGAGATGAGCTCCACGTCAGTGGGCGAGAACTTGAACCCTGGAAACATCGTCGACGCTTCCACTGATGACTCCTTACAAACTCCCACCGCCACCGCCTCCATGAATGCTCCCGCGTAAGCAACACTCGCCATGAGACTGTGTAAAGATTAGTACTAATAAATATAAAATCGCCGCTGGAGTGAAGACAAAGGGGTTTCTTGTCTCTGGAGAATCTCACTGCTCTCTCACTTAAACTTTGAGTTTTTCAAAAAGACATTCGCACGCATGTGGGTTTTCTCCAGGTGTCGCATGTGTATTTGCTTTATTGCATGTCTGCTTGCCACGTCATCACACCTAGTTTACTGTTTTGCATGTAGTCTCAATTTAAGAGGTCCTTGAGACTACTCAGTGATCACATCAACTTTTTTCTTCTGGTCAACAAAATACATTGATCTTGCCTAAATTCAACCAATAAGAGATATACACGTACCTCTTCCGGTGAACGGTCTACGAAATGTATGGCCAACGAATCTAAAACCCTACTAATTATTCAAAGAAAAAATGATACTAAATTTACAAAGGATATTAGAGCACCCCCATCGAGTTCACACGGAAACCGAAAAAAAAAATAATATTAAAATCAGATTTTTATGAATCTTTCTTTCAAAAGTTCACCGCGGTGAACCCCGATGACCCTGGGTTCACCACGTATCAACATATGATTGGTCCAAAATTAATTTTTTTTTTTTTTTTTTAATGTGGGTGCTCTTAGTTTTGTTGTGAAAGTAACTTGAGACCACAAGCACGAAGCGGACATTTGTGACCAACTTTAAGCCATTTTTAAATACAAGAGCTGTGACAGACATGAGTGAGCAAGCTTAAACAGATGCTTACCCCGCCAGCATCATCTTCGCAGCGTATGCTTAATGTTTTTAAATACAAGAGCTGTATTTAAGACTTTTTATTTTATTTTTTGGGTCAAAATAGTTTAAGACTTTTAATTTAGTTTTACTTACTTAGGCTATCTCTAATGGGACATTAAAACACTAAATTTGGTGTAATTTCATCTCCAATAGGACACCAAAAATTATACCATCCCATTCAATTTGATATAATAATATTCATCCCACCAAATATTAAAATAATGTATTTTATTACTTTTTATTAATTATAGTAGATTAGTTTTATTAATTAATTTAAATTTATAGTTAAAAATGAATATTTCATATTATTTTGTATGTTTTATTTGTATTTTCACATTACTAAAACATTAAGTTATTATTGTATTTATATTTTAATTAATAATACAATTAAATGAGTATTATCAATTACATTAAATTGTTACAAAATAAAAATTGTTTTCATTTTAAATTATATAAATTGTAATTTTGAAGAATATTTTATAAAATAAATAAATATATATATATATATACATATTAACTAAAAATAAAAAAAAATATATATATATATATAAATATAAAGATAAAATTACTAAATCTTAACAAATAAATAAAAAAAGTAAAATGATAAATATAATTAGTCAATTATAAATAATAATGTATTAATTATCTATAATAAAAATTAATAATATAAAATATTATTTTAGTGTAAAATTTGGTGTGATGGTTAGAGATGAAAAATATAGTTTAACACCAAAACATCAAATTTGGTGTAATTTAAATATCAAATTTGATATTATGGTTTACACCAAATTTGGTATTATGGTTGGAGATACTCTTAAATTACAAAAGCCCTTGAACATCACAAACTGCATTAGTATATCCTTCTTGTCGAGGTTGAAGAAGATATTAAACCAAAGAAAAAAAAGTTGGAAGAAGATAAAAAATACATGGTTGAAGGGTAGAAAGACTATTAGTGTAGGTAAATTGAACACTTGTGACCAACTTGGAACCATTTTTCCAATAAGAGCTATGTACAAAGACTAAGATCATACATGCAAAAGGGAGAACAACAAAAATATGATGGTAATTGTTTATTTTAGTGTACGTAAATTGAAACCACAAAGCGGACACTTGTGACCAACTTGGTTACTTGGAACCATTCTTTCCAATAAGAGCTATGGAAGACGTGAAAGCAAGGAAAAATGGATTCTGCAAGAAACATCTCCTCAGCGCAAAATCCTACACACTAGGATCCAGCCAATACATGTCAGGTCTAAGCACTTTGAAACGCTCTAACCCACAAACTGTTGGGCAATCTGGTAAAGGTGAGCAAACAAATCATCACCAATAGGTTCATTGAACTTTATAAAGTGTATACAGACAAAGAGATAAAGCCACACACACACTTGATAAGATCACACTGACAACATCTCCTCCTGTATTAGGCCAATGTCTTTAGCATTTTGACCTTTTCTCATGGTAAGTAAGCCTAGTGCCTAGTGGCACCCAATACTTTTTTTTACTCTACTATAGTGTGTAGTCTTAGTAATTTTTCTTTTCTTTTGTAATGTTTAACTATATACGAAAAACGGTGGTCACAAAAATACAAGATATTCACAATAATTGGGTCCCTAACCCTAAGGACCCTAACTTCCAATGTGTTATTAGTCAATATCTATAGGAAATGAAGACCCACTTGCCGTTTTTCTTGTCATCTCATTAACTTTATGCAACATTTTGATTGAATTTTAGTTTTACGACAAAACAGATAGGGTGAAATCGTAACGGATAGTTGAGACAAGTTCACATGGGAAGATGGAACAAAGATGTTCCATGTCCACACAATAACAGAGAAAACCTCGTAGTTGTTTCATTTTTATATTCCAAAACTTAGAACTAATCCATTCTGGCATCAATTATATCTCATTATTGTTCGTTGTTCTTATTCTAATTTGTTGTAGTTATCATGATTTAACTTACACTGACCCTGCGTTTCCATGTGTGCATCATCAATCATGCCCAAAACAAATAAATTCATTGATTAAAATATTTACAAACTCAAACAAATATACAATAATGTACCTTGTCCTCCCATTCAAACCCAACATGATGCCATTGATATCCTTATTACTTTTACTAGCTTCTAAGTTATAGACTGATTAGCTATCTAATCTATTTTCCTCTAAAACACACATAAGTTGACAAAGGTGGAAATATAATGTAAAATTTAATAACATAAATATTAAAAACAATGATTTCGAGTCATTTGGCTAAGACATGTTAATTTATAGTGTTTTATATCAAACTTATGACAGTCAAGATATTTGTTTCCAATATTAAATCCAAAAATTAATCTGAATTAAACACATATAATGAAATATATATATACACATTTAAAAAAAAATTGATACTTTTTTTTTTCTTGCCGGCTCTAAGCTCCGGTGATTACACAAACTCCACGCTCGGTAAGTGCCGATGATTCCACTGCTCTGACGATGAGGAACCCATGAATCTCATATTAGAAACAATGTACTCTTTTAGAGTCTTCAAAGATTCATCTCTCTCCCCATTATCAACAACCACTGATCTCTTTTCCACAGGATCATCATCTTCCACATAACCCCACTTACTTCCACTCTCCATGTTCAGCTCAATAGACTTAAGATCACTCTCCTCTTCATCATCATCATCATCATCAGAACCATCTATTATTTCCAAAACCCGACCAATCTCCGACGACCCTTGACCATCAAGAACCTTCCGGAGCTCCTTCTTAACCCTCTCCACGGCGGCGTGTTTCTCCTCGAACTCGAACCTCGCTTCCATAAGCTTCATCTGAACCCTCTCTTCCCTCAAAACATCAGCTATACGCATCATCTCCCTCTCTTTCTCCATATCTTTCTTATCTTCACCGATCCCTCTCGCCAGCTCATCACACACTTCCTCGAGAACGTCCCTCGCTCTCTTCTCTCTCTCCATCTCCTCCTTCATCTTCCTCTCCCTCTCCTTAGCCTCCGCGAGCTCTCTCCCTAACTTTCTGTTCATCTTCTCCGTTCTTTGCCTGAGGTTTCTCTCAATCACCGCCTCTTCTCGAAGCTTCTCTATTAGCATCCGATTCTCCTCCTCCTCTGTGTCGAACTCTCTTATTAGATGCTTTAGAGAAGATCTTGCTCTGTCTAGTTCGCAAGCAAGAGCAGATATTAAACGCTTGTTTGCTGTCTTGTGATCGTCTCCGAGTTTACCGATGCGTTTTAAGACCTTCACGAGTTCTTTAGACGTTGTTAGACCTTCGTAGACGTTCTTGAAACGAGTTTTCACCTGCTAGGTTTAGAGTTTAATTAATTAGGTTTCTTCTTACGCAAGAAAGATGTGTTTTGTAAGAAAGAAAAAGCGTACCGAGTTTGTGCCGGTGGTTTTGTATTCGATTAGTTGTAGTTTCTGAGGATTTGTTGATCTTTTACGAACCATTTCTTCTCCAAGAACGATTCTCTGTCAAAAGTTTGATTTTAAGACTTGGAGTTCAAGAAAAGAATAAAGAAAGAACAGAGGAAACTTGAGATGGAAGCAAAAGCGAACCTCTGATCCAAAACGGGAAATGTGTTCAGATGAGTTTAGCTGGATGTCATGGGAACAGATCTCTGTTGGTTTCTTCCTTCTGTTTCTCGACGTTTTCTTGCTTCTCAAGTTATCTCTGTCGGAGTTTAGGGCAGGATTTGTGCCACCGTCGCTGATCTCCCAGAGGGTTGCCGCCAGCTTTCTCGCTGACACGGGTAGCTTCTGAAACTGATCTATAGGGAGTTTTTCCGGCGAGAACGACAAGAGTACGGGAGTTTTAACGGCGGAGATGGACTTAACCGGAGTTCCTGAGCCGCCGTTGTCTTGTGCCGCTCTTTTACCGGAGAAAATTGCGCGTTTGAAGCGGTTTTGACGAGCTAGAGATGAAGAAGAGGAGGAAGAACCACCTCTCTTCCTGATCTTGCACCCTCTTTTCCTGTCCATGATTTTGTGTTATAAAAACAACAAATCAGCAGAACACAAGATTGTGCCGAGTCTTGTCTGAAAATAAATAAAAGGCTGAGAAATATATTTGAAATTTGGAATATGGATTTTATGAGAAGTGGGACATCAGGTTGATCCAGTAGAAGAAACGTGAAGCAGTTTCTGAAGGATTTTGTATTTGAATCGCTGACGAGACTTTAAAGTGAGTGATAGAGATAATACCAAAAAAAAGAAGAGAAAGTTAAAATTGATGTTTTAGTGTGTACTTTTGCTTTTCTCTGAGTTTATTGAATAAGAAGGGAGGGTTTGCTGAGATTCTTTAGTTTACTTCTGAAAGACTTTGAAAAAGGAAAAGAGCTTTGAATCTGGGAAATTGTGTTATTTCTTGGGGGGAAGAAAGAGAGAAGAATGTGGAGGAAGACAAAGGATGGGAAGAGAAAGTGTGGTGTGGTGTGTTTTGTTTGTGTGCGTTGTCTAATTTGCAGGATTCATTGTACATACCATTAAACCAGTTTTTTTTTTTTTCAATCTCTTCAAGATTTTAAATTTCTTTCAATAATAATTTGAACAAAATATATTTTTTTTGATAATATTGCATCTATATCAAATTATATGATGTTTTTGAATGTTTAAATTGTTTCAAAATATAAAATGATTTGAGTTTTTAAGGTTAACTTTATATTTATTGAAAATTGTTCAACTTTTTCAGTTTTTTTTTTTTAATAATTGGTTGAATAATTTTAAGATTATATCTTTAAAAATATTTTTAAGAAAAATATAGTATTTTTTTACTCTTTGTGCAATAACACCAAAACATCATAAAATCTAAAATCTGAAACGGATGAGTACTATAATCAATTAACTGTCCTATAACTCATTAATGCAACAACGACTTGTAAAAAGGTAGTATTACGGAATCTGTCAATCCAAACTAATGATTTTCTAAAGCAAATCTCTATAAGACGTAAATGGACTTGCCAACAGTCTTAAAAGGACAGTTAAACTCAGAAGCTTTTCCGGAAATAATATGCAGCAATTGTAGTCTTTGTATATAGAGTTTGATCACTGGTTCTCAAATGATTTAGGCATCAGAGCATCTCCATTGGAGGTTCTTAGGGGTAGTTCACCCCTTTCCCAAGAAAAAAAAAATATATTATTTTGGTGAACCTCGCTCTCAAAAGTTCATGGTGGTGAACCTGATTCACATGGGGTTCGCCACGTGGCGACCCCCTATTTGTCCGAATTTTTTTTTTTTCTTAAACAAAAAAAAAATTAAAAAATCAATTTTTTTTTTTGGTGAACCTCCCATGGGGTTCACCAATGGAGATGCTCTCAACCACCATGCTATGACAAAAAATAACATTATTTTAGGCAAACATACACACACACACACTTGTATGGTGATATTTTTTAGATAAATGATTTTTATTATTTTTAAATGTATAGGCAAAAAGATAACACATTTGGGAAAAGGACATTGGCTACTACGGATTGTGAAGTTTAATACTACTTGGCTAGAAATATAAGAAGAATTTGTGATAGAAGTTTTAGTTATTATTTTAATATTCGAAAATTTTCAAACTATTTTCAAGCTTAGAAAAGGAATGACAAGAACAAATGGAAAGAAATGGTTTTTGATAATTTTAAAGAAATATGATCTATAGAAATTTGTGTGTCACACAAAAAAAAAAGAACAAAAGATCTATAGAAATTTGTATTTTTGTGTTTGGCATAGGAAAGAAAGGCACATGGTAAGTATAATAATAATGAAATACTTATGGAAACATCCCAAGAGATGCCTTCCCTGTCAGTCAAATCAAATCCCTCTTCCAGATCCTTTTTAACTATAATAATTTTAGATATAACAGTACAAATAAATTCATAAACAGTAAATAAATTTAAAGTTTGTGAGGCTAAGAGGGTCCTACGGTTATGCAAGAACATAATGCATAGATGAAGGGCTCAGATTAATATGGGACCTACTCTGTTGCTCTCTTTTATTATCTTTTAAAGAGTCCTTGACTACTACTCGCAAATCACATGGAGACATTGACAAAATGTCATACTATAATACACTTTCGCAACTATTAAGAAAATACCAATAAGCAATTCACCGTAACCATTTGTGTGGACAAAAAACTTAAAAATGTATTTTAAGTGAACAAAAATGGTCCCATGGTCTAGTGGTCAGGACATTGGACTCTGAATCCAGTAACCCGAGTTCAAGTCTCGGTGGGACCTCTGAAATGTTTCTTTTTGTCTTTTGAAGAACTTTAGCAAGTGTTTTCATCAGTCGTTTACAATTTTGATGGACTTAGACTATATACTCTTACATGTTCATCACTTGAACTAATATACATTAACATCCGCCATAAACATAACAAGCTGATGTTAAACCAAGTGCACTTCACAACGAAATTAAGAATTCTTCCAGATTAAGAATTCTTACATTAACTCTGTTATAACTCAACATGAACAAACCCAACTAATCTTGAGCCGAGTATCGGTTAAACTAACAGAATATTTGCACAAACAACCAAAGATAACACTCGAAACACTGCTTGGTCCAAACCAATTCTATCCCATTAAGATTAAGATTCATTCATGTCTTAGGGATTACAAAATAGTTAAGAGACGCAGTAACCGGAATATGAAATCTTTTGATAAAACATTTGATTAGTGTTTGTCTTTTCTTCTTGGCTGTACTGAATAAAATGTTTCTCATGAGATGTATTTTTCTTGTTGCTCGTGCAAAAGCTTTGCTGAAGAATTGGCATCCATGTAGAGTGATGTTACTTCCTCTATATCATCCTGTCACAAATTGGATATTAAGTTGTAAGATTAACCACACTGACATTTATTTGTAGACTATTGTTCAAGAATTCACAATTACCTTGCAGATACTGTCACGCCCATTCATTTTCGCCACGATGCTGGCAGGAGACAGAAGCTGAACCGCATGCCTGAAAGTGAACGCACAGAAAAGGTTTAGAGGTGACATATATAATTTTTATTTTTGTAAGAAGGGTATAGTGTCATCTTTAGTCTTTAAACCTTAAGGATGTTCTTTGCGCAATGTCCTCGAGCAGGACCAAGCATTCTTCATCCATTGTTAGCTCTTCCACTTGTGCACGAACGGCTATAATCTGACCACATTACACATTTTATTAGAACAATGTAAACTTACTGAAAGCGAAAAACTAAAGTGATAATCAAAATAACCTGTATCATTTCAGAGGGATTATAGATTTGGGTCCTGATAATGACCAACCGATCCAACAAGTCAATAGGGACACCATGGGGACTTCGCATATTAGTTCCTCTGCAAATGAAGTGAATCACAGTAACTAAGTTAACCAAAGATTAAATGGTTTTCAGAGTGAAAAATGATAAAGGCTAAGTGCTTCTCCTCACCTTACGTTGCAAACACCTCTGTTTGTTGCAAATATCACAATAGGAGATAATGAGCTCTCAAGAGCACGGTTCAAATATGAAAAGCACTCCACATCAAGCATATGAACCTGAAGTTTTGTAGTTCAAAAAGCATTATTCCAGCTGATCCTATGCGTGAAATGACAACAAAATTATTAGGATTACCTCGTCGATAAATAGAACTCCTGGAACAAGCTCTGCAACACCTTCATCTATATAACGGTTCACGACCTGAAAAATAGTCAGACATTACATAAATACTATTAGTCCTCTAGCAAAAATTTAAAACAAGATACATGTAGGTCTTCTTAGTGAAGATCACCTCGTTAATTTCTTGCCGCAGCTTATCAGTGATCTCAGTCTTCCGGGGTTTCATCATTGGACCCATCAAAGAAAGTATGTCCTTGCCACCTTGAGGTTGAGCATTTGCTGCATCCAGATCTTGAAGCGTGATATCCTAACCAAAAGAGTGAAGCAAAAATTTTAGAGGCTATCTATCACACAAGGGAGAGTTGTTGAGATAAGCACAGATGATAGAAAAGGTAAACCTGCACAATCTCTTTCTTTTTCTTAACCTCTCCTTTCGGAAGTGGAACATATTCTTCGGCTTCCAGATCGAATTCAGTAGCAAAAGCATCACTTCTACCAACCCGCTTGACAGCTCCACTGTTTGCTTCAATGTATATAACATCTCCAACAGCTACCTGAGAGTTAAATAGTATACATATAAGAAAAAACAATGGCAGGTGCAAAGAAGTCAAAACAACTAACCTTCTCCTGAGTCAAAGCGATGTAGATAGTGGGATCCAACGTAAGTCGTTTAGTTCCTTTGACTGTCTTGAGCCCAATGATAACATGGCTGAATTTACCACGACCTTCCTTAACACTTTCTTCTGGGGACAGCTCCGTGACCTAGAACTCAAAGGAAAACATGTTAAGAATGTAGGGGCAAAGAGAGATATTATTACTACAGAAAAAAACTGAAAATAGCAGCACACACCTCTCCTTCGAAGACCTCTTTGATTTCCTTGATACGTAGGCCAATGGCACGTCTAAAATTCTCCATGAGAATCTCAGTTTTCTTAACCTCTGATGAGTAAACCTCAGATCCAACCATTGGACGGAAGGGAACCTGCAACCAAAAAAAACAATCCAAATAACATAAGCTTAAAAAGTGAACAAAACCCCCTTCACACACTAAGAAGATGCAAAAGTGAAGACATCCAAGATTACCTTACTTCCCAGCTCTTGAGCTATTCCAAGAGCCAAAGCAGTTTTACCAGTTCCGGGAGGTCCAGCAAACAAAAGAGCCTTGCCAGCCATTTTCTTCTGCTTGACCATGTCGACAACAAGACCAGCTGCCTCTCTAGCCTCAAGCTGACCCACGAATCCAGCCGCTACTGGTATAGGTATTCCCGTTGGCTAGAACAAGAAGTGACAAAGAATTAGCAACGCAAACTATAGTCTAGTGTTCTAAAAACTGGTCCACACGGGGTATATGATTTTTCTAAACCACCTAACCAAACTATGGATTTCTTGAACATTACTCAATAGAAAAGCCATATATACGATGAAAGACCACAAAGCATACTTCAGAAACAATATATTATATAACAAATGCATTAAAAGATTGAAGCTTTGCAGATACAATCTGAGGTTTAGAGGTTACTTGAAACGAAAAAAAAGTCTTAAAGGTTAAAACTTTAAACCCTAAACTTGAACGAGCTTTGAGCTATACGTGCAGACTACTAGATTCAAAGAGAGATATTCAGAGGATGGAGAGAGATAAAGAAGAGGGGAGGAGGAGAACCTCGAGGCCAAGGCCTTTGATATGAGTATGAGTAGCGATCCTCTGTTTCATAGTGGTGGACTGGATTTCTTCTATCTTCACTTTCTCCATCTCCATCTCCTTCAACTGTTATCGTTTGTCCTTCTTAGGTTTCTCAATCGTTCGCTGTAGTCTTGGACGACAACGACGGCGGAAGAGTTCGAGCTCTGTTTTTGTTTTTGATGTTTCTTCTTCACATTGGCCAAAACGTCTCCTTTTATACAGTTTATATGTTAGTTTTTTAATTGCATAAATAACCCTTTGAGCAGGCGTTTCTTATACATAGGCCCCACCACCTTTTTATAAAACTCGTGTGTTCTTGTCACTAAACAAAAACGCTTTTCAAAGGTTTTCAAAACTGTTTGAGGACCCTATGACATGTGGTGGCATATAATTAGTTCATTTTAATTTTTTTTTTATTTAAAAAACTCGAAAAAGTAAAAAAAAAAGAAGAAATTTTTTGAAAAACCAAAAAACATTTGCAGCTATAAATTTTTAGAGCATGTTTATTGGGATAAACTCTTACATAAGTTCTTAGTCAATAAAAATTTTAAGAAAAAACATAAAAACGTAAAAGAAAAGAGGAAAGAAAGAGAGAGAGAAAGAAAAGAAGAAATGAGGTAGAAACAATCCACACATCTCTTCTCTAGTCAACTGATTTATGATACATGTTGTAAAAAACGTTGCTTAACACTCTTAATTAATACACGTTCCTTGTGTTTTTTTTTTTCTTTTTTAATTGTAAATAGTGTAAGATATCTGGTTAAGAGTCATTGATAAATATGCTCTTACAAACCTGTTTCCTTACAAAATCTCTCCATATTTTTAATTAAGTGTTTCACAAAAAAAATAATGGGACGAATTAAGAACAATTTACTGTCTCTCAATATCATTCTTAAAAATTATGGTCAGAGAAAAATGATGAGCAGAAAAGAGTTATAAAGCCATTCCATCAGAAGTAAAGTTCTTACAGATCCAAAAGAAAATTATATTATTAGTGATTGATGAACTCATCTTGCAGGAATACGTCAGTATGAATCTGTTTCATCACGGTTTCACGGATCCTATGTTACATGGTGATTTGCAATTTGGTTCGATTATTTTTTTATTTTTTTTAAATTAAGCCGAAGAAAAAATAATACTAATATTTGTGATTTGGGAAATCAAGATAATGAAGTTGGCTAATGGGGATGGCTTAAGAATCAAGAATGTTTACTCATGTCAGGACTCAAGAGTTACTAAACTAAATTAAGGGCGAAAACTGAAATAAACAAATAATAAAAAGGACTTGTTGTTGTAACATTTTGTTCTCTCCATCCATCAAAGTCAGATAAGCTTACTCCTTCTGGAACCACCAGTGGCAATCGACCACACATGGAGACTCTCTCGATTCCCGCCTCCGCGTGGTTCTCCGGCGGCGCCATTCCTCCTCCTCACGCGAGGCTTTCTCCGACGTACCTCCTCCGGAAACTACCGAGCAGGACTTCCAGACGCTTGGCCGCCTTAAATGCAGCTTCTCGCTCTGGTAACAACTATACATTTCATCTCTTTTTCTCTATACGTTTTTTTATCTCCACTACGAATGTTCCTGCTCAGACTGTTCTTATCGCTTGTGAAAATTTAATGAGTCTTTTGGTGATTTTAGTGAGTGAGCTTGTGGAGGAGGAGGATGTGATGCAAATGTTCTTGAAAGACAGAGAAGAAAATGGAGATTTCATTTCCAAAGTCTCTGATAGGCTTTGGTTAAGGGAAGTTCTTGAATCTATTGATCTTAACTCTAATGGTGCTTCTTCAGCTATTGGACTAGAGTATAATCAGGTAAAACTATGTTTATGCGTATACCAATTAGTGTTTTTTGAAAAGTGACTTAGCTAGTTGATCAAGCTGTAGTTTAGCTGGTTGCTTTTGACGATTTAAAACTACTTATTTGCGTATTCACGAGTAGTTTGAGTGAGATATTTTATCATTTTGCAACATGGCAGTGAGGTTAGTGTGCGTTCAATGCGGAAATTTTCTCACTTGGAATCCTTATATGTATGCAGGAGAGGTTTGTGGATGGTGCAGATGATGATGATGATGATGATGAAAGCGGTTTCTTGAAACTTAAACCGACCCAAGAATGGATTGCTGGGGAAAGTGAGGCCGCCCCCATGAATAGGAAAGCTCTAGCTAAGGTGTGTAATCTCTTTTTCGAATGCTTCTAGTTCTCTCTCTTTGTTTCACACCTCCGATTCATTACGATAGTTGCCTGCGTTTTATGATACGAATACAGAGAATTTTCTGACAAGGTTATCTACTTTCTCCATAACGCTTTTGGGTATTATCGCAGGCATTACGGGATGATAGCGAGCGTAGGAAGAAACTGAACTTTCTGAAATATGAAGCTGTATGACTCTTCCTTTCAGTTATGTTTCTTTGATTATTAGTCTACCTACCAGTCATAGCAGTATGATTTACCATAACAGCTATTTGTGGGAAATAGCTGTTCAGTACGTGATTCCAGTGTTGGATACGTTAGTTTATAGAAGTCACCTCTGAATAATTGCTTTTATGTCTTTTTCTTTTGGTAGCTGAAGCGTGAACTGATGTACCTCTCAATTGTTATTGGAACCGGGTGCAGCGGATATTGCTTATTAGCTTTATCACCCCAGGTTAGTAGCTCTCTGATGGGGGATTGTTTTTCTTTTCAAGGCCAATCATACCTTAAAGCTCTGACCAGTCTGTATCTACAATGACTTCGCTTTGTTACATCATTTAACTATTCGTGAGAAACTGTGTGTTTAAAGAAATATTGTTTTATCTAAACAGGCTGCAGTCAGTTATGGAGTTGGAGTTCTTTTCAGGTTAGTTCTCTATTTTAATGGTTGAAGAAAAATAGACCTTGAGATTGTGATATATAAAGTCTGCAACATACTTACTCGTGCAGTCCTAACCAAATCTGATTCCAGTGCAGTTGCTTGTACCTTCAGCTTTTGTACGGATATGCGGATGGTGTTTCACGGGAAGATGTTCCTAATATTTTCCTGAAAAAGAAGACTAAAAAGTAAAGCTGCTAGCTAGTTCATCAAAACTTTGGTCACGTCTCCATGGTATAGTTTTCATTGTTTATGTTGCTCTTAACTTGCGTTTGTATTGTCCGAACCTCAGAATCGGAATTAGAAGTGAAGACCTTGAAGACTTTGTCAAGAGAACAATCAGGGGCAGTGGCATGGCACTCTCTTCCCCACGTCTAGTGATCCCAGCTGCAATCTATGCTCTGTGGATTCTCTCACACAAGTACTTCCAGAATGACTTGTTCGACTTCCAGGTAGCTATTTCTAAGCCACACGTTACTTATTTATGCTTTTAAGAGCTTGAAAGTCAAATAATTATCATTCTCCATCTACAATGTTGTGTCTTTCAGATAGTTCCAGCCATGGTTGGTTTGTTTGTATACAAAGCTGCAGCTCTGGTTCAAGTGTACAGAGACAACCAAGATCTTCAGTTCATCTTCCCAGACGATCTTTGACCTTCCAAGTTAGACGATTTGTGGAATTGTTTGGTTCATGATCTCAAAGGGAAACAGAAACTGGACTCATCTGCTAAGACTTATAGCTGAGCCTGAGGATGTAGAGTAACCTGTGTGTTATCATTTCTTCTTTAACGTCGTTTTTTGTAAATTTTTGAGGGAAGATGCAATATATTTCGTATGACAATGGACCAAAACAGAAGCGATTGAACATGTGTAACAGGAATGTTGTGAAACAAGAAATGTTGTGAAACAAAAAAAAAGGAATTTTAACAAACATAAACAACCAATATGTGATGTACATTGCAGATGCAAGATTCATAAAGACAAACCAAATAAAGTTTCTGGAGAAACAGAGAGCAAACTCACTCAAGTGACAACTTCTAAAAGAGAAGATGAAGTCTTTTATGAAACTCTGTATCATTCTGACATTTACATTAGTTGCATCTTAATTTACAAAACCAATGATCTGTTTCCGGTTGAAAAGCTTTTGAAGTGTCATCACCTTCGATAGGAACCTCAGAGATTAAGATCTGCATGAAGATAGTGTGATGCCTCCACAGAAAGACGCGATTATGATGTACAGGACAAGAACTATCAAGCACGTCAACACTACCCTGTCAAACACAAACAATAACAGAAGGCTTCGTTTAAAAACCGAGAATTGAGTCACCTCTAATGATATGGAACTCGTTTGTAACCACATAAGAGGTGTGTAAACATTATAAGCCAAAAAAACAGAGATATGAAATCTTATGCATCTCTATTTTAAGAAATATATCAGTAAAATAAGCCTTCTTATCATCACCCAAAAGCCAAAGAAACTAAAAAAGAAGCTACAAGTGAGAGAAACAGAGAGATGCTTACAAGAGCTTAGCGTTTTTCATCCAAAGAGCTCGACGTAAGCGCTTAGATTGTTTCCTGAAATGAAACGAATTATCTTGCATAGTAGCAGTTTTATCAACAAGAAGCTCAATCCTATCACCTCTCTCCATTATCTTCTCAATATTCTCCACCATCACCGACCGAATCTGTAAACCAACACAAACAATGAGAGAACAACCTGATCAAACATATTCAATAGCACATGTACAAGTAAAACAAAGTGCAAAACTTTCACCAAAGTCTAAACAACACACACAAAGTGCAAAACTTTCGCCAAAGAGAGACTTAAAGGCTCTGCCTTTTTCCATTAAAACTACACAAAGAAACAATCTTTCACCTCACTGACTTCTCCTCTAACACGATTAAGAGTATCAACACTCGGATTACTCGAGAAAAACTCCATCTGCTGATGCAAAACCCTAGAAAACTCATCATTCATAGCATAAGCTGGAGCATGACTTGCCACTCTCCCATAATTCTTCATAAACCTCATATGAACATCTTCCAAATACGAAAACGGAATCCTCCCTATAACACAACACAAACCAAAGACTCTAAATCAATCAGAGACACTTCATTAATTAAAAAAAAAAAATCACCATTGTCATAAAGAAGAGGCTTATTACTTCCGAAGGTATCGTTGGCCATACAGAGAAAGGTAAGTCCATCGGATCTGAGGATATGGAAGATGTAACGGTCTTGTGAGAAACAGAGTCTCTCCTCGGCGGTTTCCGGTGAAAGCTTCTCGAGGATTCGTCGCACCACGGCGCCTGTGTTTCCCGTGACGGCGCTGAATTCGGCTAGGACGACTGTGCCTCTCGCTACGACCGCGTAGACGATCGCCATCGGAGAAGTTAGGTGCGGTGGATCGCTTAATCCGGCGTCGACTTTGCTGCGATCCGAGCCGATTCTTTAGAAAAAAAAGTGTTCAATAAGAGTTATATTTTGGAATAAGACCCTTTTATTTGTTGTTATATTTTGGATAGTCACTTACATATTGTTTTTCTAACATTTTAAACCCTATACAATTGAACCATCACTAAATGGATAGTGAGTAGCAATGATCAGGCAAATTTATTAACAAAAAAGAAACAAGAAGTAGAAGTTATATGTTCTCCTATATAGATGAAACACAGATAGATGAGGATAAATCGAATATGTTCATCATAGAATCGATTCGTCTAATTAACACTAATCTAGTTTAAATGGGTAGTTGACTAGAAATTTGGATTGTAAAATCGAATCACATTTTTATCAAGTTGATCCTGCTGAAATTGTTTTTTTTTTTTTGTGTGTGTGTGTGTGTCTGATTTGTAGTTAGAGTTCAAGTTTCCTCTTGTCTGAAACCAATTTTGTTAATATTTTAAAACATTGCATTTTGCATCAAACAATCTGGTTATCGAAATTCAAACTATGAGTAGGAACCCAACAAAAGTTACAAAATCAACCATGACATTTGTAGCCTATTAATCAGAGTCGGTCCTAGAAATTTGATGGCTGGAAGCAAGGGAGGAAAAAATGGTCACTTTTAAAAGATAAAAACAGAAAAAAATAAAAAAAAATAACTTAAATGCCTAAAGGAGGCTTCAAACCCGTGCCCTCTTTCAAGTAGACAAGAAGACTCTACCACTAGACTAAAGGAACTGTTATGAAAATGTGGCCGAAACTTATACATAAAGGATACAGCCGCAAGCACCTGCTTCTCCTGCTTGTTCCAAGGGCCGGCACTGCTATTAATCATTTAGCCTATTCTACTCATATTGTTGTCTCAAATAATAGAAAATCGAGGTGGCAATGAGGATAGTCTCTGAGTGTACCCAATCACATTATGGTTTTAGTATGTTGACTTGTATAGATAATGAACACCAGTGCTAGATATGAGACTTTGTGTTTTTATGTTTAAAGACAATGTATAGTGTATTGGACAAGGACAAGCAATCGACGACCAAAAGAAACCTTTTAGTCTTCGTCCATGTTCACATGTATAGTCGTACTCGTAGGTGTATAATACATATATATCTTTCTCTCTATACACAACAAAAATATTAATGTTGGCTCTTTTCGTGGGGTTTGTTCGTCGGAAATATCAACGTTATTGCCAATTTGCCATTGTTGGTGGCACAAGTAGCAGTGCTTAACTCACTTATAAACTTAACTTTGTTTAGTTTAATATTGTACCTAAATTGTAGTATCACGTCATAATTAATGACCCCATTTAAAATTTCACGAATCACAGTACTATCTTTGCTAAATTTATAATTGATTTATTTCTTGTGTTCACACTCATGGCATAGTTGTAGACCGACAACATAGTTTAAAGGATAAATACAGTTAATTATTAGAAATGACATGATACTACGACTACTCCATTTTAAACTAGTGTAACAAAAGAATGTATATTACTACAATTACGAACTAGTTTCACAAATTTTACTAATCATATGATAATTTTAGTATGTTGAACTGTAATTAAAATCTCTCAATAAAAAACTTTCTAAACTATGAGAACCAAAACTTAGAGAAGCATGCAAGACTTGTATTTTTAGGTCTTGGCTTCGAACATTGACCGTGACCTAGTATTCTCCTTCTTTGATAGAAATGGCAATTATGGATTTGGACCACGTGTTTGACCCTTAAATAATTGTTACGAGACTGAGATAAAATTTTCTAGGTCCTTAAATTTGTAGGCTTCGATGGATGTATGTTAATATGTTTTAGGTGTGACAAAAATAACTAGAACTATTTTTTGAATACTAATAAGCAAACCAATAACTGATAAAATATGTCCAGTTGAATTGATGATTAGAATCATGTCTTAGAATAGTCTGAAACATTTTGAAATGATCTTAAGCGTTCTTCTCCGCGTATATTATCACATGTACATATAACGGAACAGATTTGGACAATCATTCCAGAGACCACAGCCCGCACAAACTTGACTCACTGAGACCTACTTAGGGTCCGACTGGTTTCCCCGCTACCACCCGCAAACGCAGCTTTTGCGGTTGATAGCGTTTTGCAACAATCACAAAAACCACTACAAATCGCTTCAAACCGCTCCCAACCTCTTAAAATCAAAAGCTGGTTTCAGCTAGCGTTTGCGTTTGCGGGCGATTGCGGGTGGGTAAAAAACTATTTTTTAAAAATTTAAATTAAAATATAAAAATAAAAATAATATAACTAAAACTATATCTACCTTTTATTTTTTNTCGCTTCAAACCGCTCCCAACCTCTTAAAATCAAAAGCTGGTTTCAGCTAGCGTTTGCGTTTGCGGGCGATTGCGGGTGGGTAAAAAACTATTTTTTAAAAATTTAAATTAAAATATAAAAATAAAAATAATATAACTAAAACTATATCTACCTTTTATTTTTTAATTTAAATTCACTAAAAATATCATAATCTATTTAAAAAAACTTTAAATCAAGAATTTTCACTATATTTTCAATATATAAATATATAAATATATAAATATATAAATATATAAATATAATTAATTATATTATATTATATTATAATATTATATTTTTATCTAAATAAAATTATAAAAATAATATTGTTATTACTTATAATATATTAATAGTTATTAGTTTTTTATCATAACAGTATGTTTTGCTATTTTTATAATGTTATAATTTGTTAATATTGGAAATTTATTATTGAACCGCTGTAGTATCTCATAATCAACCAGTCATAAATGTCCCGCAAACGCACCAGTTTTTAATCGCTGTACCAGTCGTACAAATCGCCTAATAACACTAGAAATCGCAACCACCCACATCCGCAAACTCCCGCAACCGCAATCGTAACCGCCGCGTTTCAACCAGTCAGACCCTTAAAAAAGTTTCGTTGGGGTCCAAGACGGGATGGGACATGATAATCTGTTTGCCAAAACAAAGTTTTGTATTTTGCTGACGACCAAGACTCATTGTAGTCTTCTTCCACCGTCATCGATCTTTCTCTACACAATAAAACAGTTTTATCCTTATGCCTTTTCTCAAAAAAAAAAAAAAAACAGTGCTGTCCTTTTGGCTCTTTTCGTTTATATAAAGTTTGTATGTAGCTCGTTTTGAAAACATGCTCAAGTAATTCACTTATCTACTTTCAACTAGTTTAAAGTTTTGTTCATTATAAATGTTCTTTTACATTTTCAATGCAAACATTATATATTCTTTTTTAAAAAATTACCCATATTAGCTTAGCTTACAAAAACATTCTATAATGTCACCTTTTGTCAATTATTCTTGCTCAAATTCTCACGTTACAAGGAAAAAAATAATAATTTGTCGTAATCAACTAGTAATAATGTAACAACCCATGGGTAATAATTTGCTTGCTTATGAATTTCGCTAGCTTCAAGGCCAATTCAGCTGCTCCCATTCCCAAAATGGTTCAGTTAAACCATTAACCATCTCTGTGTTCACAGAGAGATCAACATGTCCTCCTCCTGACATGGAAGTTTCTGCTGAGCTTCCCACAAGAAATGATGTCTCAGCAATTGCAACATCACTTGTAAACATTCTCTCTGTCTGAAGAACTCCCACAGGGCGTCTATCAAAAGCCCTTGAGCTTCCTGATGTTATGTAGACACGACATAAACTGAATTCATGTCTCAACTATATTAAAAAAACATTAATGAGTTTCTTGTTGTTCAAGGAAACACGAGTTTCTTATACTATTTTCTAAAAAAATCAATAAAGAAAAAAACTATGCAACCTTAGGGACAGTGGAAACGTTGTCTACATCGTCAAAGGCTTTGTACTCATTCATCTTCCATTTTGTTTTTCCTCCTGTTGGTGCTTTTCCAGTATAGAAAACCATAGTTTTCTTGACTCCAATCATTCTGTTATCCTTGGAAAAGACTTGACCAGGTGATCCAGTCGCTTTCCAGTACCCTGAACCAGTGGTTCTACTCGGTCTGCCTCCTCTTGCTTCACGTTCTTGTCTTGGCACAAAGAAGAACCATTGCTCAGCGTCTCCTCGACATCTCTCTCCCGCAATATCTGCAAAAGGGTATTATAATAAACCCCACAAAGAGGGTAAGTTCCACAGACCACACATACAATCATTATCACAAGTTTTTGTTATTTATATTCCATAGGATGTTCAACTGTACGTAAAACCTCAATCTACAAACCAAACAAAGTCTTATCATTACATTAATGATCTTTTTCTTTTTTGTTATCTGAAAAACTAAACCCGGAAAGATAAAAAAAAAAAGGATCCTAGGAAAACTTTGGTTTCTTTCGAAAAATAAGGAAAAATTTAACCTAACTTTTTAATGCTATTGTGACTTAACAAGTAATATGATGATTATTTTGACGCCATAATGTAGGTCGAAGCTACTTTTTAGTGAGGGTAACCTACTTCGAAGATCACTCGGCTCGACCTCAAAGATATCTAGAACAGGTATGACACGGTGCACTGAGTCACCACTCCTTCCCTCGAGCTGGTTTCGTAGGTAGAATACAACCAGTTCATCTTCCGTGGGATAGAAGCGAAATCCAGTTGTAAGGTCCTCATCCATTTTTGTATGTGATAAAATCGACTTCCTACAAAAGGAAACTTCTGTGAGGAAACCTATATATTATGCTTCTTAAATATATAGAGCTTTGTTTTTTTTTTTTTTGAACAACAATCTTAAATATAGAGCTCTTGCTTGGACTCATTGACATTAAATAAGGTGTTGAAGTAGAGATTGGTTTCTCCGAGTGAAATGAGAAAAGTTCTACGCGTTTTTAGGTTTCTTTTATGTTTATTATTACCATTTTGTCGGATATTGTGAACGACAGGAATGTTCTTGTGTGTGTGTGTTTGATTACTTTCGTTGTAATGTGGTTTACTGTTTAGTAAGCTTTTTACGAGCCACGTACGCCAAAAGAACGAGTCAAGCCCTTGTCTTGAGTCAAGTTTCAGTCTCTTTTCCCTGAACTTCTCTATTTGATACAGCTTGCCAATTTTAGAATATAGTATGTTTCTTTGAAGCAAAAAAGTATGTTAAAAAAAAAAAGTATGTTTTTTTTAAGCAAATTCAGATTAGTCGTGCTTTTGTGGGGTTAATAATTCTTAATTTTGCAGAAGACAATGTTTGTAAAATGTAATTTCTACTTAATATAAAATTGCCATATATAGCTAGTATTGTGAAATTAAAGACTGTATAACAATTTTCGTTGTAATTATTCAGATGGCTCTTTATTTTTCCTTTTTGTCTGTGAAAAAATACACGTTATTTTTTACATAAACATTAAGTCAAAGTTTGTTTGGATTTTTTTAACTTATGATCTTTCAAAAATAAATTGAAGCTTCTAATGTAAGTGTATATAATCACGACCGTTGGCCGGGATAGTAAATATTCAAAAAATCCCATATTGATCAGCTTTGTGATGATACCCTAGTCAACTGATATTTCAAAAATTAGATACTAGCCAGATATAAAAGATTTAGTGTCTAAAGATGGGAGTACTGTTGTCACGGTACGCAAGTCAAGTACCAGTTCGGAGAATTGAGGACACTATGGTGAGTTTCATTTCCATGACTAGTAGAGTAGTTTCTTTTTTTTTTGCCATCGCATATCCGGTAATCGGTATTCCTAAACAGTAGATTTAATTGGGGGCATATATAAATAGTTTTGGGGGTACCTACCTAACCCTTCACTACGGGTTTCTCTTATCTAAAATTTTAAATATAAAACAGAGAGATGAACCAATACGGAAACTTAATTATCACATCATGGGTTGTTAGGTGTGAAAGTGGTCCACATCAATAACTCGTTTCGAGTATGTTGAGACCTTAACTAATCTTAACCTAAATATACTTAAGAAATGGGTCCACCCGAGACACTTTCCTAGAAATGAGTTGCTTCTATTAGAGCATCAACATTTATGAACCGCCTATGAAGTTCATAAATATACTTTTTTATTATTTTTTTTTATTTTTCTTTTTATTTTTTTCTGTTTGTTTAAAAAAAAAAAAATTAACCGATCACGCAAAAAACAGTGAACCGGTTCACGCCAAAGAGCTTTTGTGACTCAAGTTCACAAGTTTTCCATTATTTTAATTTTTTTTTTGGGAAGCGTGTGATCTCCCCCCTATAAAACTTTGATGTAGATGCTCTTAGTTTAAGGCGGTTCACTAGAAATATGGAAAAAATATCAAAACTCAACTAAAACAAGTGTTTTTTGAAAACTAAAACAAGTTATTTGATGAAGAACTACTTAAAAACTCATTTTTTACTACTCAAAAAACTTAATTTTAAACCACCAAATTTCAAAGTATTCAAGGAATAAGCAATATTTACTAAATTACAGGTTTATCCATAAATTATTGGACACCTGTCCTTTTTTTTGTCATCTTCAGTTTTGCATATATACTTCATGATAAATCTAGTTTACAAGCTATTTTATCATATTTTAAAAGATGCTATTTATATTTATTTCAACTTTCCTTAATTGATCTTATTTTATTCGTTTTCTCACAAAAATATATCCATTTCATTTTTAGTCTTTATACATTTGTTCATCGTTTGATAGCTATTCAATCTTTAATTTTCAAAAGAAAAAGCTAATATTTTGGTATTAACAGTATTTAAAAATTATTGATTGTTTGAATTCTACTTTAAAATATACTCCGTTCATTTAAAATTATAAGTAGTTTTGCCTAAAAGTAGAAAAATTTAGAAAATCATATTTATGACTCCAGCATTTAATTAAAGGGAAAAAGAACCAATAAAATATACTCTCTCTGTTTCAGAATACTTGTCATTTTAGGTTTATTTTTTTGTCACAAATTAATTGTCGTTTTAGAGTTTCGAGACAAAATTTATTAGTTTTATATAATATTCTATTTTTCTATTGGTTGAAAAGTGGTTAGATGTATAGGTAAATTGTGTTTTTATCTTGAAAATATGTAAATTTCAATGTTTCTTTAATCTATCTGCAAAAACCTAGAATGACAAATAAAGTGAAACGAATAGAGTACTTTTTATTTAAAATATGAAAAAATATTTCTAACTTTTGGTTTAAAAATTATTTCATCATATTATTTTTACATTGGATTTTGAAAATAACTTAAATTATGAAACAAACAAAAACCTTCAAAAGTATTTATAATTTGAAAGATGGCAAATATCTGTGTTATACATTTTTTGATGCACAAAAAATACTTAGATCGAAAAGGAGATACCTAAATTTGAATGTTCATGTCTTGTTATCATTTAGAGCATCTCTAAAAATACTCTCTATTTTAGAGTTTGTAAAACTCTATATTTGAAGTTTAAAGGTGTTGTGCTCCAAAAGCAAAACTTTAAACTCAACTTCAAAACTATTTGTATTTTATACTATGGTCCTTATATTTATTATAACTAATTAAAATTCATGGAATTTTAATAAATAACTAGTACATATATAAAATATTACAATAATATTAATTGATAAAATGTTACACTAAAATAAAAAAATTATAAACAAAATATATAATTAAATATTAAATTATGAACAAAATACTATATTAAATCTGGTAATATTATTGTTGTCTGATTCTAGTTTAAAAATATTTGAAATCTTATGTTGATATTTAAAAAAAAAAAATTAATTATGTGTAAAATTTAAATTTATTAAAACAATTTTGAAATATTTATGAGATAAAAAATTTAAAGATTAAAATGATAAACAACAAAATATTTAAGAGTTATAAATATAATATGTAATTGTAAGGACCAAAATGCAAATAAAAGTATGAAACTTCAAATTTGAAGTTTTGAGTAGTGACACTATATTTGAAGTTTCACTACTCAAAATTTCAAATTTGAAATTTTAGAATTTCTTTTGGGAGAGTCAAAAACTTCATATTTGAAGTTATAGAGTGTCTTTTGGAGATGCTCTTACGAGACATTAGTGTCTTTTCTCATGGTTACCAAATACACAGGGATGATCACTAAAAAATCATGGCTGGTCCTCAACATAGCGGAATGAAACATTGTAATAGGGTCTCTAATTTTTTTAGAAAAAATTACATTGAAAAACCTTTAAATTTGTTAAAAAAAATTGTTAAACTTTGCTAAAATATTTATGGTTTACAGCATTCCAGAGACGTCCCTATGAGTGCTTGAGGAGATGATAGAAAACACAAGACTGTTAACGAGCGCGTGTTGATTTCAGCTCAACGGTTTGGGACTTTCGTGTTCTTTCGCCTTTCGGTGATAAAAGTAAGAGATTTTTGCAAATTTGACTCAAAACTCAAAGTCAAACACAAAACTAACATTTCTTGTTTTTTGATTTTTCATTTGTCTTATTCACCCCATCTGTTCACATTATTTACGAAAATGCCATTACACTTTTTTCTTTTCTTTTTTTTGAAAATTATTTTTTTACTCTCTCAACCTCATCATCTTCAAGTATTTACAAGATTGACATTGCCATTAATACCCTAACTACCATGAACAACCAATTTGAAGCTCTTAATGCACCAAAAATCGATTTACACTCTCTCTTTCTCAATTGTTATGAACTAAAAACAACATCTCTTTCACTTTGTCTCCATATTCATACAAAAACCCCAAGCTTTTGATTCAAAATTTTTTATTGTTGATAGAGCCATTTAAGCATACAATTCTTGGTGGGTTACTTTCATTTGATATTCTGGGTGGTTGGAGAAGACTTTGTGTGCTAAGAAAGTCATCTCACTTAGTTTAAGGTATGAAATTGAATTTTTTTCCAGATCTGTTCGCGTAGAAGACTTACTTGTAAGTCTTCTGGATGAGCTGGACGACTTACTTCTAAGTC